ATATATATATATATAAAACATATAACATTGCTTTTAAAATCCAGTTTACACAGTCAATTCACGACAGAATTTGAAACAGATTCTATTTATAATTTTATATATCAAATTATAATAGGTATGTAAAGTTGTAATTTATGTTATTTAAATATGGATAAAACTTGTTTGTTTATCCGATTGGACTTTATTTAAAGCGCTTATAGATTTTCAATGTTTATTACACCAGATACAATTGACCAATCACAGGTTATTTATACCCTGTGCGTATTTTAATGCGTTTTTTAATGTATAAAATAAAATTCTATCTCGAATTCTATTACGAATTATGTGTTAATTCTTTATTATATAAATAAATAATTACACGGATTCATTAACATTTATATAATTCTCGAAAAATATTATATAGTGAGCTACAAATATCTGTAACGTTTAAATTAATTATCTACCGTTATAACATTACTATAGGAAAGAGAAAAGCGAAATAAGCCAAAATTAAATTTTGAATTGGAATTGAGAGTAATTAAAACGTACAGCATTTTAACAAAAAGTTTCTCGTTGTACCGCTTTCAGTATCTACAATATAGTTTTGTTTGTACCGAATGAAATCACCTCCGAGAGTATCATCTCGGAACAATGAGAACGTAAGCATGTTGGCAGGCAAAAACATGTCTAATGGAATTAGACTCTCTCTTGGACCAGGAACGATGATTTCGCCCCGGAGAAATAAGGATTCCGTCTCGCGTAGCGAGAGAGCTGCGGATGGCAAGATCATTGAACGAGTGACTCACCTTAACAGTCTTCCCAGGGGATCCCTCTCCGGGGATGTGGGACCGCCGAGACCACTTCCGGCGCCGAGTCTACGCGAGGACGCGCGCGCGCTCGATATGTATGCGGCCGGCGCGGGCGGCGGGCTGCAAGGCGGACAACAAACGGGACTGCTACCCCCCGGGGTTGAGAGGGTGTAACTCCTCTCCAGCTCCTGCAACAGACGAGAGAATGGCGGTTATGCAATAGCGAAATCTTGAGCTCTCAACCAAAAGGAAATGTAGTGTATTAAAAACTTAAAATTTAATGATATCAAATTTTTTGAATTTGACATTTTTTGGAGATTACTATATAATATATTCCATAATTTTACATTTTTTGCTGTATATGAATTTTTATTAAATCTGGTCTAAATTTGCGTACTAAATTTTTTCATTCATATAAAATATTTAAAAACAATAGCACTTGCTGCATTGGCTATATCTGAGATATCAATCGCAAAATATCAAAATATCCATTTGCTAATATCTTGCAGATATATTTACATTTAAATTATATAATATAATAAATTTTACAATTAATAATATTCATAAAATCGTGTTGTTATTGACAATCAGTTTATACAATTTTTATTTATAAGTGAAAAACTGTATTTGTTTTATTATGTAATATTTTCAAAAAAATTTTGTTTTTCGTTAATTTGTGTTGATTTATAATTCGCTAACGTTTAAATATAATATATTTTGTAAATCCTCAGAATACGTCGTGCATTCTGCCATTAGAAAGTACATCAAACTATCAGAATTACAAACAGACTCTGAGAATGAATGATGGTGAGCTGCAAGAATCTTCACGATGAAGATGTAAGTTTAAGACACTAGACTAGGACCGAGGTGAAGAATCGAATTTACGATTTCAAGAGAAGTCGAGAATGAAGCTCCTGGATACGAGTGAGCGTTTGATTTTCGCTGTTTTCGGCGGTCTAGTTAAACCTAAGGATTTAGTTTCGGGAAATTTTCAAGCAATTTTGCGAGCCTGAGCTTTATCGCGCGCGCACTTTCACATTGTTAACAGAACTCAAGGATTAAACTTCGGAACTGAACTCGACTCTTGAGATTTACGAGGAGGCCGGTGGTCCCGACGACGCCTGCTTTTGAATTTAATTAATGCACCGAAGTGAATTTCATTTTTCAGTTCTTGTTGCTAGAAAATAATATATAATATTCAAGAATTTAGAGATTGCTCACATTCAATGATAATATTGTCAAAAGTAACAAAAAGATTAGATACGTTAAGATTCGAAATATAAGATTTAGATTTAAATTTAAACTTAAAATTTAAATTTAAATAAACTTTAAGATTTTTTAATTCTACTTAAAATTTGAGTGATTAATAGATTAATTATGAAAATTAACTATACTATATTCCATAATTATACGTTCCCTTGTTTGCATACGTTTTATTAATCTTCCTTTGTATAATCCTGTGCATAATATTATGTGCGAGAGATCTCTTTTATCAACGAGGACACGCGTCATTAAATTGGAATTTTCATAAAATCCAGCGAACAGAATAGCTTCAATCGCGCAAGTTTATTACAACCTCCAAATGAAAGTAACTTTCGTTATTAACGTGCAACGTTTAACTTTCTGATGGCAGACCCAATCAAAGCTTCTTCTTTTCCCGTTCGAGAATTTCTCGGAATTTGCAGTAGACGATTGTTGCCTAAATGGAAATCAGAAAACTTCGAATTGACTAGTCCTCCACGGTCGATCAAACGCGACTTAAACTATCAATCGTCTGCGAACTAATAAATCCAACTGCAGTCGGCAAATATTCCTGTAATTATCTACCTACACTAATTCTCATGCGCTCTTTTCATTTAAATGGAAAAAGAGATACGAAGCAACTAATCCAGAAAACAGTACGTTTGTTTGCTTTAGTGATTTCATTTAAATCCCTTTCTTCTTGCAAATCTGTATTCATATATCACTACTCACGCAACAGCAATCTTTTCAGTAAACGTACTATGTAACGAATAATTAATTAACCATGTTTATCTTGCATCTGTATTTTGTATATATATTCTGTACATATATTCAGAAAAGCAAAAGAGATCTCGAAATTCTACAAGATTGTCTCACATATCCTCATTATCTTCAGAAGAAAAAAAAGATAAAAGGGAGAGAAATTTATTTAATGAAATAATTGGTCACGATTTATAAAAACACAATTATCTTTTCTATCTGTAAAAGAAAAAGTACTTCTATTACCAAAATAATTTAATATTAAAAAATCACTATTTAATCTTTTAAAATAGTAATAATTGAATTTTGAAAAATATGTTTTCCTATCGAATGCATTTCTCATAAATCTTTCAATATTCCAACGAAAGAATATAAAATTTAAAAAATTCGTGTAATCTCAAAGAATCGGATTTTATCCTTACCTTAATTATCAACGAATGATTATGATGTGTAGAGAAATGCATTTTATTCGAATTAAGAAGTGGGAGACAAAAAGACAAGACTTGGCGGTGAAGCCTCAGTAATCGCATTATTCTCAGATATTAATTCCGCTGGAAGGCAAGGCTGCCTGTAACGACCTTCACCGGGCCACGATGTTAATTGATGAAATGAAACAACGAACAAAGTAGAGATCTTTCTTCTCTCTCTCTCTCTCTCTCTCTCTCTCTCTCTCTCTCTCTCTCTCTCTCTCTCTCTCTCTTCTCACTCAGGATTCTCCCATTAAGTTCTTGAAAACGATAGAACTTTTGCAATCCGATTACGAAGATAATAGTACATCTTTATTAAGGTTCCCTACCTTTCTTTATGTATTCCGTTCTATCTACTTTATATCCGTTATGTACGTAAGACCCATTTTATTGGACACAGATTTATTTGTCGCAGATTCTTAAACCTTCTTAAAACTATGCTCATTGTAATTTCATATTACTTTTCATTATTTATATCGCATAAAATAAATTTGTAATTAAGCTCTTTTTTCATCTTTAATTTAGAATCTCTATTTGAATGTCTGTTCAAATTCATGAACGAAGAAGCTAATTTTATTTCTTTTGTTTCATTCAATTGAAGATTTGTTCACGTCGCATGTTCTAAACATGCTCTAAAATGCTTCTATTATATTATTCTATTATATTATATTTTCATTTAAATGTCCCCTAGCATTTACTCACTCTAACGCACATTGAAGTGAGTAGAAGCTACAAAAAGAGCACATAGGAGCATGCTGGAATATGCGACGCGAACAAATCTTGAGAAATTAAACCCCGATTTGATGGAAAGACAAAAACATTTCATTCGTGAATAAAAATTTGAACAAATCTGCTCTAAAACCTCTATCTTCATATTTATATCTATCTCTGTTTCATTTTTCGATATAAAATGCAGTTATTATTTGAAAAAATATTTTATATTTACTAAAAACGTTCCAATTTACAATACATTCAAGTGATTAACTTCATAATTTATATTAGACCATTGGTATAGCATAGTTATCATTATCTCGCGCATCGCCGGAATTTCCAGGCATCGTTAACTTTACTGAGATCGAAGGATGAGTCTTCTGCCTAGAATACAAGAAGCTGTCTGAAACGGAACGACACAATGGCCGTCGAATACCACGAAACTATAATACTGGAACGGAGCGGCAGCGGCTTCGATGATCAAATCATAGAGGGATAGAAGAAAGGACATGAGAGAGAGAGAGAGAGAGAGAGAGAGAGAGAGAGAGAGAGAGAAAGAGAGAGGAGAGGGGATAAAAGGAAGAGAGAGTGAGTATGAAGGAATGAATACGAGCACTGGCATTAATCCGAGATAATTGCAGCCGTAGTAAAGATGACAAAGGAGGACCTACCATGTTTTTGATGCAAGCACGTGCCTTCTCGCGGGCAGACAAAGGACTGCTATCCTTTCGCCCTTTCGCGCTCCATCGCGAAGCAGCTCCTGAGAGACGAAAATTACGCATCTTCGTTCTCATTAGCGCGTAAGATTACAGGTAACCGTCAAAATTATGGAACAAAAGGCGCATCCCTTGCGCACATGCGATGTATACCTGCATATACTTGTATGTACCAGCAGCGCACTTTGGAATTTACTTTGCAATTATCTGCCGGTTACATTAGCCGTTGCTCCAGTAGGGATAACGAGCGCAGGTAAATTTTCCGGGTGCGTCTAATAAAGTCATTACTATCTAATTAGGTTGCGCAGGTCCATTACGAGAGCGATTTAAAGTAAGCGCACGCAAGCACTCAACTCTACAATATAAATGTCTAATAATTCTTTATATCCTTCGTGGCCACTATATGAAACGACTTCGCACATTTAATTTGAGATAATTTGACGGCACATGATGTAGAACGTTTTTTTTGGATGATATTAGCATGTTTATCGCTTATTAGCATATAAATAGTGTCTAAAAAAGCGAGAGAAAAAATCATTCGTGAGATCGTCAATTAAAAAATAAATCTTCATTTACAACAAATATTTCAAGTTGTCATTTTGCCTTTTCTAGATAGTGATGTACTTTATAAATATTTATGACATACAAAGAATCTTAATTTCCAGTTCTACTACCTAATAATTTTAATCCACTGAAATGTACTCCACTGTAATCTTTTCTTGTACAAAGGATAACTTATCTCTTTCTAAGATGCTGCTTCTGATACATGCATAGTTTACTTATCGTTCGTATTTAATTGCATATTTTAAATTTTTATTGATATTAAATAAATCATAATTTTTAATTAAAATAAAAGTTCGAAGTTCAGTTTAATTTTTCTGCCGACGAGCAATATTTCATAAACAGTACAGTTCTACAATAACACGATATCGTAATTTTGCTGATTTATTTAATCAATTAATCAATTTCTCCGCATTCATCGATTTCAATCATCAACGATATATCGCGATCAAATTTTATTGCGTACTAAGTACGCTGCGCTTCGGCATCACAATATGTACATTGCATTTCGAATGAGAGGATATTCGCAAAAGCAATAACGCTCACTAATAGATAACGCCAACACGAGGTATGTGATATCGAAACCGAGCAATTAGTAAAACGTGCTCGGCATACCTTGCATAAGTAGACACATAACGCGAAGATGCACCGCGCCGCAATCAACGCGATAATTCAAAATACTTGTTAACTTCAAAATACTTGTTAACTAATAAGGAACAACTAATTTATTTT